CCAAACTCCTAGACCCTAAACCCTAAACCCTGAACCCTAAACCCTAAATTCCTGAACCCCAAACCCTAAACCCTGAATCCGAAATACCAAACTCCTAAACCCTATACCCAAAACCCCAAATCCGAAATACCAAACTCCACAACACTCTGCCCCAAACCCTATCATATCAGTCAGCGGATTGCAGGGAGCAGGGCGGAGCCCGTAGAGGCCTTGTCAATCTCCGTGGCCAGCATGCGGATGTTCTCATCAACATACCTTCTCTTCCGGATACCCTAAACCCTAAACCCTAAACCCTAAACCCTAAACCGTGCCCTAAACCCTAAACCCTAAACCCTAAACCCTAAACTAGAGGTCAGGAGTTCAGCAGTTGGGGCTACAGCGTTGACGGCTCAGGGGTTCTATGAATTAGGGTTTAGGGTTTAGGGTTTAGGGTTTAGGGTTTAGGGTTTAGGGTTTAGGGTTTAGGGTGTAGGGTTTTGGGGATGTGGGTTTAGCTTTAGGGTTTGGGGCTACCTTGCCGCGTTCAAGATGCTGGGTGGAGGAATGACTCAGCCTGAACACCAGACTCTAAATCCTGACCCCTACATGGGACTTTCCGAAAATGGGGGGGGGGGGGTACCTTATTTTGGGATCCTTAACATAAGAATCCTACTATTTAGGGTACTATATTAGGGCCCCGTATTTTCGGAAACCCCCATATGTTGTATATAATGCAATAAAATGCTGAGGACAGATGATGAGGAGCTGCCAGAGCCGCCAGCGCAGCCCGAGCAGCATCGGCTGTGGTGGCCTGAAAGCAGATGACGTACGATTGATTCTTGCTGTAGTAGAGCCTGGTAGAGTAAAGTGTAGTACCGTAGTGCAGTGAAGTACTTGTGTAGTATAGTATAGCATGGTATCGCACCGTATCGACGGCATCGTATATCATAGCAGTCATAGCACAGCAGTAAGCTGCCGAATGCAGACGAACCTGAGTAAGGGTCATGTTCAGGCAAGGATTCGCAGGCAACTTCGTCCGCATAAAGGCTTCGCACTCATAGCACTCTTGGCGGCACGGTTTAGAGTCCAGAAGATACAGAGGTGTATCAAAGTTCACGTTCACTGACTGCCACCCTGCCCTGAACCGTAAAACTCTCATCTCAGCAGGGAATAGTGGCATTTTAGACTACATACATGACTGGTCTCATCTCCGCCTTTGCCTTGACTTTGGCTTTCTTGGCCTGTACCTTGGCAGATGCAGTGAGGTTTACTAATTTAAGGTTTGGGGTATTTTCGGGTTCATATAGGGTTTAGGAGCACTTGTTGAGTCTATTTGGAGTAGTAGGCTAGTCGCGGATTCTAAGCTCAGCTGTCAGCCGGTTCTCTTTGGCCGAAAAAGTCAAGATGTCCTTGACTCCATGGGAACAACATCATAGTTTAGATGTGTTCATACTGTACAAGCGAGACGTAACATCAACATAACAGAAGTATGTACCCCGCATGCATGTTGAGGTCTGAATCGCTCCAAAAGCTTTGCGAAACTTGGCTGCAAAGCTCTGATCCCCTGAAGCCCTCTGTCGCGAAGCCAAGCCGACTGTCGGCCTGCGCCAATGGATGACTCCGGTGCCGGTCCGGAGTGATTTGGGGTTGCTACTTGTACAAGGTAAAAAAAGGGCTTCTGCAAGGGCTACTATGTATTTTCAAGCTGAGCCTGTTGGCAATTTATGAATATGTTCGTGCGTAGATCACGATGCGATGCATTCTCGAATGTGCAGGTGTGTCTGATGCTGACGGTGTGCATACTTGTACATGCAGAGTCAATTCAAAGCAAGGTGAGAGCTGGAGCGCCGAAGTTCAAGCTCCTCACCTGCAGGGGGCAAGACGACCCCCAAATCCCAAAGCCTAAACGCAAAGTCAAAGTCCTAATTCCAAACGCTGAGCCAGAACTCAACTCTCAAGCAATGGAGATGTATCAATTTGATAGCAACCTACTTGTGGTCCGATCGAGAGCCAAAGCATCGGTTCGTGGCACAGAGCCTGGGCTTAGATGCTCACGTTGCGCCTTTACAGCTCCTGTAGCCTACGGATCGAGAGCTGTGCAGCAAGTCCTCGTCAATCTTGTGATCTATTATAGTATGTTATAGTATATTATAGTATGTTATAGTATGTTATAGTATATTATAGTATATTATAGTATATTATAGTACATTGTTCATTCTCCCTGAGTTGCTGACCGACCTTTGAAGTATCCGACGCCTCTGCAGTCGAGGGAGAAAGTTCGGCATCTCCTTCGGGGGTCTCCCCCTGGCCAGCCTCGCATCAGCCTTGGGCCGGTCATCGGGAAGGTGACCGAGTACCTTGGCTTATTGAGGGTTTAGGGTTTAGGTTTTTAGGAGTTTAGGGCTTAGGGTTTAGGGCCATAGTCTCCATTGAGGGTCTCATGAGCCTTCGATGTTCCTGTGTTGCATCGAGGTGCGGGAGTGTTCTGATCCACATTTGCACAAACGGAAACCTCCAAACAGACGGCTCCTCCTGGGCCTTAGCGACCCTAAACCCTAAACCCCGAAGCCCTAAACCCTGAACCTTAGCGCCTTCCTTTGGTGGTGGCCCAGGAGCCAAAAATCCCTAAACCCAGGAGCCCTAAACCCCAAACCCTAAACCCTAAACCCATAATAAGCCCTAAACCCCAAACCCTAAGCCCTAAACCCATAATAACGTTAAAAAAAACCCATAATAAGCCCTAAACCCCAACCCTAAACCCTAAACCCATAATGACTTTAAAAAACCCCATAATAAGCCCTAAAGCCCTGGCCTTCGAGGGCACCAGCCGGAGCCTTTGTGCCAGGTCCTCGGCTCGAATCCTCGTGGAGGCGAGCCACGACATCGAGGAGTTCAGCTGCCTGGCCGGTGACAGATTTCATTGAGTGGTGCAGTGGCTCTTCGTATCGAGCTGCAACTAGATATCTATGCAAATACATAATATATATATATATATATACATATGTATACATTGATGAGTTAGTAGTTAGGCTGCGTTCTTGTGCCTCTGCAAGTAGGGTTGCAAAACAAAGGAAATAACACGGTTTAGACAAGGCTGATCGTGCGTGAGCAAGAACGTGACTGTGAGCTTTCATGCGACGACAAACCCCAACCAACATGTTAAGCTGCCCTTGCTCAGGTTGTGCATGTACGGCCGAGGGGTCGAGCAGCGGCCGGGATCAAAATTGATTTCTGGTCGTGTCATGTGGTGCTTTCAGGAGCTTGGGGCTCAGGGTTGCTAACTGTCGTTTGTGTGAGACAGCCCGTTTTGTCTCCTTTGGAAGGTCCATCTGTCAGCACGAAGACCGCGCTGAAGGAACGGCGACCCACAGTAAACTTGTCTGCAGATATTTGTTGACATCTTAGTTGTGACGCTGTGTTCTGTCGACAGGCCTTTGATGTCATTGGCAGGCCAACCCCGACGGAAGGATGTCCGCCGAGGAAACACAAATGAATCGGTTGAGAAATTGAGTATGAGAGGGCAATGAATTCAGTCACCTTGCAGGCCTGGAGTCGTTGCAGCATTGCTGCCAGTAACAACCCTGCGTGAGGTGTGGACAGCGCTTCGGAGTGTAGAACGATGTGCCAGCGTAGCACATGCCAGTGAGTAAGGTCTTGAAGATGGACGGCTTGGCAGCTTGTCTTTCCACAGTTACTTCAGTGCTGCGATGCCAGCTGCATGTGCGATGCTTCTGAATGCCACACGAGAGCCACGGAAAGACAGAGAGAGCGAGAGAGAGGAGTGCGTGTGTGCGCGCGTCTGTCTGTTGAGGATGCATTGTCCCAGGCCTTCCCAAGATCTAAGTTTAAGGGAAATACACAGAACAAATGCTACAGACCCTCCCTGTAAATCCCTACAGCCCTAAAGCGGGTTTGCTTCACGCGGTGAAACGGAGGCCCCATCGACGCTCTACACTGTGGAGGTGAGGGGCGCCAAACTCCTGGTCGACCGATGCAGCTTCCGCACGCTGCCGGCTGGTGGCTTCAGGCCTTCCTTCTGGGATCTTCGGGCCTCTACTCAACTTCATAGGCCCTAAACCCTAAACCCTAAAGCCCTAAAGCCCAGAGAGATCAAGAGAAGTCGTACTGGCAAGCCTAAGTCTGAGACCGTCGTTGGCACGAGGTTGGGAGAGGGCGGAGGCGGTCGTTCACCCTGCTTCGCCGTCGCCAGCTGCAACTGTGTCTACGAGACCAGGAAGCGAGGCACTGCTTAGCCTTCGCGTCTCCTGAGATTCCTGTCGCCCTGAGATCGCAACATATATATATATATATAATATAATATAATACAATACATATATATATATATATAATTTAAAAGGTTTCAGATGTTTTGGAGAAGCCCCGACGTCCCGATGTCAGCACTCTGCAGGTGCCTCGAGACAAGACCTCTGGGCAGACCTGAAGGAGCGGCTCGAATCGGGCGTGCAACCCGTGGACTACATGCTTCATCTAGGCGCATGGCGGGCCATCTGTGCCTGGATGATGCCAGAAGACACTACTTGGAGGATCATGGGACTTAGTATCTATAGGGCTATAAATAAGCTAGCTATAATTATAACCCCAATTAGGGTACTTATAACCTTACTTACTAAGTCCCATGATCCTCCAACTAGACGTCACTCCGTTCGGTTCCTGAGTTGCAGAGTTGTGAAGAAGCCGGATAGTCCGTGTTAGCAAGTGGGAGACTGCAGTCTTTATGCGACTTTGCCCCATGGTGCGGTCCTGCAGGCGACAATGTATATATGGACAGCGACTGGCATCTCATTGAGTCGGGCAGCATGGAACTTGAGGCACAGCTGTTGGGTCGAAAGGGGGTTCGTTTATAATTACAGGACTCTCCAACATACGGCATGTGATCGAAATGCATCGAAGTGCCAAAGGGATGCAGCTAGCAAAGCCAAAGGTCAACTAAGTGCCTCTTGGGTTATCGCAACGTCATTCTGGCAGTTGGCTCCTCGTGAGGAGACTGAGGACGACTGCAAATGGGGAGTTGCTCGGGACTGGCTCCTGAAGCTGAACGACCCGTCAAAGTGGAGCCAGCACGAAAAGGAGATCGAGGAGCTTCGGCCCACTGCGAACACGTTCTGGGTTGGGCCTTTCTATTGACTATTGCTGCCCTGGAGGAGCACTTCCGGAACGTTTACCGCGAGACTTGGGGTCGCGGACTCGGTGGCCAAGCGCACTGCGATTGTGACTGCTGATGCTGCCGCCCGACGTGCCCCTTGATAGTTGAACGAGTCGCCATGGCTGGAGGCGTCGCGCTGCGCAGCAGTCTCTTGAAAACATGCGAATGTTCTAAATTCAGTCATGTCTCAGTTGAGCATAGCTGAGCATGACGCTCTGTCTGATTCTCTTCTGCCGATCAAAACGACTCTTGATCAGGTCATCCCCCCACGCGGTGGGTTTTGGCCAACGTGCCAAACCTGATGATTCTTGATGATCACGATATCCGTGGCTTGAAGAAATTCAGATGTGTTATCACTGAGCCTATACGTACCGTGGATGTGCACGTGCTTGCGTGTGTATGTGTTTATATGTGTATATATATATATACCACAGCAAACATAATACACACGTAAATAAATGTTCAGACATGTATGTACGTGTACGTGTAGACGTCATAGGATAGACTAAACTAGAGTAGAAGCCAACATATGCAACACAATACAATGCACTGTACGATCATGCTACAAGCTATATCAGCTAGTAATACCATTCAGTACAAGACAAAACGACAGCGAATGTTACAGTAGACATTACGTAGCATAATTCAGCATGATATTGTATTCTGTTAAAACATAACATTACGTTAGATTTAACGGCAGTAAAGGTTTATATAGCGGAGCATGGTATATTATCGTGTAAAGTACACTGTATAGTATAGCTTATAACCTGACATCATACAATGTTTTGCAATAGCACACAATCTGATGTTTCGTAGCACAGGGTCATATCATGTATTATAAGTTGAGACGATACAAATTGATACAATATTGTTTTGACACAGCATAATACAGCATAAAAGATCGTGTGAGACGCCAGACTGTATACTGTTGCAGAATACAATACAGAACAACACAACCAGTGTATTACATCATATATATATATATACATGTGTGTAGAGGACAATGCTGTATAATGTTATAGCCTAATGCAATGCAATTTCAACACAGTAAAATACGACATGCTATAATGTAACATAATCCAGTGTTTATACTCTATGTCATAGAGATACGTAACATATTATCACATCATATGACAGAATATGCCACAACAATGCAGTAAAACAGAATATGCACGAATATATCACAAAGTCTTTAATGCAATATGGCAAGCGAGCATCTAGAAATTGTACAGAAATAAAGCATAACATTAGCATAATGAGTTCAACATCATCTAATCTAGCATACTATAGCATGATACCCTACTGTCTAAACTCTTGAAACATAACAAACCCAACCCAATGAAATTCCCCACGATGTTGTGCTGTACTGCATGCACACAAAACATGGGTGTGTGTGTGAGAGAATATACATATCAAGGTGGTCTATCTGCTCACAGACCTATGCCTAGCGCACCCAGGTGCCTGAGTATGCATGTGCGCGTGTATGTCGGTGCGCAGCATAACGTTATGGACTCTCCGCTTTCGTCCTTCATACAGCGTGCACTCCGCACGGTTGTGCATACTACCCATGCATGGAAACCCAACACACACACCAGAGAGACACCCTAATCAATAGATACTTACACATATAGATACATATATATATATATATATATACCAATATATAAATTCATAGACAGATAACCAGGCCCCCCACTTGCACGCGAAGTTTCACTCTTGGTAGATGTTGAGTCTAAATATTGGAGCCTGGAAGGAACTTCCGGAAGGATGGTTTAAACGCCACAGAGACATGCGATAATATCTTGGAGGGAGTTGGTGGCGCTTTGTGGGCCAGTGCAAGGTGATGATTGGGGAGACCGGCCGGAGGACAAGCAAAGCGAGTCCGTCGACAGGCCGTTTCTGGAAGCGAGGGCATTGTGGACCATCGGTGTTCGGCAGCTCGTGCATCTGTCGTTCGAAGAGCTTGACTTAGCATAAACTATAGCTTCTGGAGTCACACATGCAGCAGGTTTTTGGGTGAAATCGCCTACCGCATCTTCAACTCCTACCAGCGCCTTCTGCACGAGGATCCTGTGCAGCGGCCAGACGGAACGAGCTGCGAACCAGAATTCGATTATCATATGCAGCTGGTCTTAACAAAGTCAGGTGTCGCTGGGATGCCGCTGTCTCTTTCGATGGAAAGCCGATCAAGACTCGACTTGACAGTGCTGCTTGTGAAGGCACGCATTCGGAGATGTGGGCTTGCTTTTCGTGGACGTCCGTGCCTGCAAAACTTTCCACTGGAAAGAGTCGGAGGACTGGGTTTGCCAAGCCCGAACAAGTACCGCGCAGTTCTTGCTAGAGGCTTCTGTTACGTTGGAGGTGTTGTCGAAATTCTGCGAACGGAAAGGCAGTCTCAAAAGGCAGCGAAGCAAGCAGCAGTAGAGGCAAAACTTAGACTTTGGCAGTTCGCCTCGTGGAGCATACAATACCTAGCACATGTACCAACACGTTGCAGCTCTGGCGGTTACCGGCGCAAAGCTTGCGCAATGTCGTTGGGCAATCGCAGTTACGTGCACATAGGATCCGTAGCGTTTCGTGTGTTGTTATTTGCTGATGAATATTAGTATTAGTGTGACAAGCACCGAAAGCAAAACTTGGCAAGTATACCAAGGAGCGAATTTCTTGCCCGGGGTGCCCTCTCAAGGTATTCTGGGAAGTAGTAGTAGTAGTAGTAGTAGTAGTAGTAGTAGTTGTGGTAGTAGTACTAGTAGTAGCAGCAGTAGCAGCAGGGCCCAGATGCCTCATAGTTAGCCTACCTCGTCAGTCAGTAAGTTCGCCCGCCCTCGATGTCAAACTTTCTAGTTTGTGTGTGTGTGTGTGTGTAAGTCAGCGTGTACCAGTACTGCATGTATGAATCCAACTAAGTAAGTATACATCTGCTCCTACAGCTGTGTATACATGTTTATATGCTTGTATATAGGTATACACACACATACACATACATACCTACATACATGCACGTTCTATGCATGCGTACATATAGTACATGCATACATACATCCATACTCATGCAAATACACTGTTCTGCACATATTCAGTACCCGCGTCCACATGTCTGTATGTTGTATTTAGCTACATGGCGGGGAAACTCATCGCTGAACCTGGCCTTGGTCACCAGGACGTTTGCGCACCTATGCTGGGCGCAGCCCAGTGGGCAGCCCTCGAAGAAGCTTTGGCGCCAGGCCAGGGTGGGACTGGCTCTGACTCCTCAAAGCGAGATCACTTACGGTAGAGCATCTGGAGAAAAAGGTGGGAACAGTGATGGTGAAGGCAATGAACAGTGGGAGAAGGAGAACGGCGACAACCACCACAACGGATCCTAGAAAACGGACACCACAGAATACCATCGTCATCGTCGTCGTCATCTCTACAGCATGAACATCATCAATCATACCCGCCAACATCACCATCACCACCGGCAACATCACCTTCGCCATCGCAGTCATGCTTTTCACCCTCCTCGTCGTCATCACCGCCGTCATCGCCATCACAAGGATACTTTCGTGCCATGCTTGCTTTGACTGCTGTGCTTCTGTCCAGAGCCTGAAAAACTGGTGCTTCCGTACAGATGTGGTGACGTGTTGATGTGCGTGCTGCTACTGGGTTTCCAGCGCAGGCGGTATGCTGGCAGCCTGCAAGGCGTTCGGAACTCAAACGCATCGTTTGAGCTTGGCGGATCGGTTTACGTCTTGCGACCTGAGCCTAAACAATAGACCCAAAGCCGTTGTGCTGAGAGCACTGCGCGCTTGTTTTCAGGGTTGTCCGTAAGGCCCCATACAGTAGGCTCATGTAGGCTCTCCCAGCGATTCTTGGACCCAGCTCACAACAGCAGCAAAGAGCAAAACTAACCTGAACGCGGAACTCCATAGCCCCAAGCCCTCTGGACCGTAAACTGAACCCTCAACTCTGCATGAACTTCGCCTCGCTGGGAGCTCGCCCAAGGCTCCTGGCATTAGTCCCGGAGCCTCTCGGCTACGTAAGCCGAGTCCCTCGGACTGCAGAGATGGATTGCGATTTGCGGATTGTTTTAAAACGATGCTCATGAATTACCAGTGTTGCTTTCACTGTTCTGCAATGATTTACAGTAGAGTTCTTCTTCTTGTTCGGATGAAGAATAAGAAGATGATGATGAGTGCCGCTTATTTTTATTCTTATTGGTGGTGGTGGTGGTGATGGTGGTGGTAGTAGTAGTAGCAGTAGGAGTAGTAGTCGAGCAGCAGTAGCAGTAGCAGGGGCAGCAACAAAGTCATGTGCATCATGTGGTATGGTTTCAGACGAACGAAGTTGCCCTGTTGCAGACAGCATAGAAGCTTTGCTGCCCACTGTTTCTTCACCAGTTTAGCAGTGAGGCATTCACCCAGATCATGGGCAACACGGTTTGCGACGACTTGCTAGGCCCGCAGAGCCACGAGCAGAACGGAAAGTATTGCATGGGTCAAGACGCATCGTGATTTCGGTTCTCACAGTTGGCAAGGCCAGTGGTCAGCTGAAGCTCACAGAGCGGAGGTACCCCGCTTCCTGAAGATGTTGAAGGCCGGCATTCAAGCCTGGTTTGCTGGCACAGCTTGTCCACTGAGCTGCATGCGATGAGGCCTGGCGAGACAAAGAAAGCTCGCCACCATGCAAACGACAGGCAGTCGGAGATCGACAGATTCGGACCCTACTGATGCCTGCCGCCCGTGGAGATGCATTAGCTCGCTCGGGTTTTGAGCAGAGCGCAGGTGTTGATCGTGGCTGGCGATGTGCATGAAGGCATCGTGCCGGATAATGCAGGGGCACGGGGGTCTGGAGTCCAAGGTGCGATAAGATCAAGAAACGCGGGAGTGTTGCCAAGGGTCTCGAGTCCAAGATGTGATAAGAACAAGAAGCACGAGTGTTGCCAAAGTTTCGATGTCACGGAAAGGGCACTGCCAACGACGCACACTGCTGCTACCAGCTAATGTCATTACACCCTTGAAGACATGAAGTGTTCTTCGCGAGAGAAAGAGGGGGGCGAGAGAAGCAAAATACAAGCTGGTCCTATCATTCTGCGCATGCCTCTCATGCTGGTCTTGGCAGAAATATATTTGCAGGTGGTTGGACGGATCTGGTTCTTCACGACGTGGAAGGACTCTGGGATTCCATGGCTCAGTACCTTGTTGTATCTCTTCCCATCTTGGCGCATCCACGCCAGCCTGCGAAGACCCTTCCAACTGTCAGTTTCTGTAGGGTGCCGTCTTCTGGACTGCTCGCGATTGATGCGAGATGTGCTGCTGACACCGTGTACACATGTAGCTGTGGCTGGGGCTGTGGCTGGTGTCCAAGGCGAACGACGCATTCGGCAGCTGACAACCTCGGCCATTGCCAACAAGCAGACGAGGCCTCATCAGGCTTTGGCAGCGTCCCTGATGCAGACAGCTTTGCGAGACTGCCATGCATCCCCCCCAACCCCCTTCCCCGCTCCCCCCCGCCCGCGAACAAGCGACATGACCAGTCAAGTACAGCTGCACAGTTTGTGCATTCATACCCCCACCGCATCATGTTTGTTCAAGTTTCCGAACCCTGCTGAACATTCAAGGTGGCGCTGACCCGTGGTTTCTTGTCGTCCTTGGATGTCTCCGATGCCGCCTTAGAACGGGTTCCCAATCTGCGGCGCATGCGAGCTGCCATGCCCAAACAGACACCTGCGGAAACAGAGACTGCAAGAGTTCAGACTGCTGCGTACGCCCCGTGCACTTGCAAACCTTGCTGAGAAGTGCGGTTCTCTCAAGGAGACGGGCTCTGGCTGGACCAGCCGCCACTACGACTGGACCAACCTGAACAACTACGCCTTTGTCAGCGCCAGCATGGCCGTGGCAGGGACGCTGAAGGCAATTCGCCACAACACCCGTTATTGGCCCCTACCTATGGTCTCCATTGTAGTTCCTTTTTGGGGTTCCCTTATAGGATCCTAAATATAAAATTGGTTTAACCAAAAAAAGGAACTACAATGGAGACTATAGGTAAACCCTAAACCCATCCGTCAGCTTCAGACCGAAGCACTGCGACAGGTGAAGGTCCTCAAAGCTCAGGGCTTGAAGAACCAGGACTCTTACGGCCTGCTATGACTATAGTATAATATACTATAATATAGTATAATATAGTGCTGTGAATATAGTATAATATAGTCTTACCATCGAATGATGCGTACTGGAAGCCCCAAAAACCCTAAATATGTAACGATCTTGTCCGATGATGCTGCCGGACTGACCCGTTGCTGCCCGTGCGATGCTTCTGCTAGAGTACGGCTTTGGCGGGCGGCGACCATAAAATATGAGGACTTTCTTTCTGGAAAGTAGGGGTCCTTATCACGAGTCCTTGTAGCAAGATCGTGCTGTTTAGGGTTTGGGATGGGTTTAAGCCGTCGCCTCCAACATTTTCTGAACCTCCAGTGCTGTCTCATGCAGGATATGTTGTCCTGGCTGGACCCCTACGTCACGTTGACCGTGGGCTCGCAAACCTTCCAGACAGATTCGGACTGTGCCTTGCATGCTTGGCAACGTGGTCTTCTTTGCATCGTCAGAGGCTTTTGCAGTTGTCACTGGTTACAGAGGCAACAAGGCTCGAATTGACTCAACTTCGCCTGATGTGCCCCCATGACCGGCAGCCACAGTAGTCAATAGTGTGGAGCATCTCTCATTTGGAAGGCTGCTTCGGGCTTGGAGTTGATAAGTCCCACAGGCTGTCGGCTTTGGCTCCTGACGTACTCTTGGATCAGAAAGTCTGCTGTGCAAGTGCTAGAGCCAAGCGATCAAGTCTGTGGCATAGCAAGCCATCCACACGCGAGGTTGGGCCTCTGTAGTCACTACTGGAGGGCAGCAGGGTTTCTTCTTCCATGGGCTGTTGTGAGATAGGTGATGATCAGCGAGATCGAAGCAGCCCGGAATGGAACTCCGAGGACTCATGCTGGTGTGGAAGTTGCCTGAGCAAAGTTGCAGTGAGGGTTTCGTTTTCGATGTGTGAACAGCAACCAAGAACAAGCTAACTCATTTCTCTGCGTGTACTAGGACAAAGAAGTTCCGCGACAGTGCAGTCAGTAGGTATCCAGCCATGTCGAGCCCAAATGGCATAGCTAAGCACATCCTCACCACACAAGAATTTGATCACCAAATGCCGTGGCCGGGCACGCCGTCATAGACATCGGCAAGGAGCCGAGGACACCGAGAAAAGCTCGAGCAAGAGCTGGCACTCCCGAGCCGCCTCGCCTGACACGACGACCACCGGCTGACCAAATACGATGGCTTGTGTCTAAGTTGGCCAAGCTGCAGCATGCCTCAGCGCCAAAGAGAGCTGTGAAAAACACGTCCGGTAAAATCGCTCACGTCAGACTCAGTGCCGACAACCTCCTCCACAGCAGCTGGTGCGCCCGTCAACCCCTGTACCTCAGACCTGGCAGCGACAAGACCAGAACAAAAATCACGCGCTGTTTCATCAAGGGCTTCTATGCAAGTGCAGGCGCATCTTTGATGGTTTCACCGCCGTGCGCGTTGGAATGTGGACCTCATTCCGAGGACTTCCAGTTCACTGTGGGGCCCAGTGACTACTACTGCAAGCTGACTCCTGGCCGCGAGGGTTTTGATGGAAGTTCTGAAGGAGCCTTCGAGACCTCTGGAAATTGCAAGGATTTGACAGCGCGTGCATGTGCTCAGTTGCCCAGCAAGCCATTGTGTCATCGTTTCTCCAAGTTGCCTGTGGCCATGCAAAGAGCCCCTTCGTATTATGCGGTGGTATGCTTGCCAGCATGCAGAACGTGTTGAGACGATTGCTGTTTTCGACGAAGTTGAGGCAAGTTTGCGATGAGGACAGTTTGATGGGCGCCTCAGCAGGAATGCTAAAAGCCAACATGCACTCGCTTCCTTCGTTTTAGCAAATTGAGATTGTCTTTGGTGAGGTCAAGACCTGGGGTCTGTGAAGTTGGCAATTCACGAGCTGGACACCTGCACGCAGACCTTGGTCGAAACTTGGTCTCAGCAACGACAGTCCAGATATGGCATGGGCGGAATCATGAAGACCTCCGGCCCAAAAGACGACGAACACGAGTCCTGTGGAGCCAGCTGCAGCCTGCCTGCTCGCGATTAATTGAAGAAGAACCCGTAGACGTAAGGGGATTCGTGGGCGTGGTTGCATCTCATGTGCTGCAATCTATATCGACGACGGTATCTCCACTGCGCATGCCCCGACACTTACCAAGGAAAGCCTTGGCCTCAACAAGGGGACCCTTGAGGCTCGGTGAATTCGCTGGACTGTGACGGTATGCCTGGTAACCTAAAGGGGCTTTGCTGAAATCTTGCTGCTGTCTACTTCTGTTGCAGATTCAAGCCTCCTTCGTGCCGGCTTCCGGCAGTGGCCTCTTGTCTTCACTGAAGTTCACTTTCAGCTGGGGGTGGCCCACAGGCCGGTGCGATCTGAAGGAAAAGCCTACAAACAAACACTCAGTACTCCGAAGCCAAGCCCGAAAGCTCATCGATCTTGTTTGTCAGATACAGGTAGGTCACCTTCCCCGGTGAAGAAACCGTCCGTGGACGCTGCAATTAATCGAATCTCGCAGGTGTCCAGCATTGTCCAATGAGCCTGCGAAATCACCCTCGGAAAACGCATCAGTTTCCAAACTTGTGTGGTTTCCGCGGCGCTCAGGCGAGGAAGGCGCTCATGGAGAGGAGCACGTCTTTGGGATCGGCATCAGTTGGTGCACTGTATTCCTGACGTCACTTGCGAATTCCATTGTCATGCGTGGTTCAGATGGCAATTGCAGGAAAGCCTCTCAGGGTATCCCGCCAGCAATGTGGCAGCGCCGCCACAGGCGGAAGATAGTCGCCATCTCGGGTCCTGTGGGGTCCTGTGCTGTCTCGTTCTCCGCAGGCGATCTTCACCGCACAGCTGGTGGTTGCAGAGCAAGGGTGCCTTTTGCAAACAGTTGAGAGTGGCGGCGGTTTGCTCACACGTTAGGCCTGTACCATTAGCTGCAAAGCCCTTGATTGATTCCTCCAATTCTACAGCTTGCGGAGACGACACATATCTGCAAGCCTCAGGGCGCAGGCTCTTTGCCTGCGTAAGCTGCACAGGGTTCATGCCAGGTATGATGTGGCCAAGACGAAGATGCGCTCCACCAGCGACCCCGTTTTCAGCACCGGCAAGAACTTCCAAAATCAAACCATGGAGCTCCATCTTTGTCAGCCCTGCTGGAGTTTTCAGAGATATCCGCGTTCATTGCACCGACGAAGGAGATCGTGGGCCACAGTTTCCTGGCTGTGTCGGAGGCCTGGTCGGACACGACACTCTGCTGGCCATGCAAGCTTCTGACGAGGGCAGTTGCTTTTGAGTGGCGATTTGTTCAGCTGTTTGGGTTTCGAATGTTTCGGAACAGGTATCGGTGGCAGTTTGTCTTGGCGCAGATTTTAGTTTTTCGGAAAGGGGGGGGGGCGCTTATGGTTGAGTTGGCTACATTTCCCAGCCCGTCGGAGGCTTTCCAGAAATGTCGCTGCATCTGCCGCAAATGATTGGTGTGACTTCGCTGCAGATAATGAGTGCATGGCAACTGTTCAGCGAGTGTAGCCTAATGCAAGAGGCTCCACGGCTCTATATATGCCTTCTTGTCGCTACTGCAGCGCAGCACAGAGCTAGAGCAGCAAGACAGCAGGCATTGACACACCTGAGCTCGAAGTCAAGCATGGCGTGTCATGTCCCCGCCTTTCAGTTGACATGGCTATGAGCGGAGCATGTGCATAGCTTAGTAGTATGTTGTAGTGAGAGCATGCGCTAAGGCTGAGGAAGCAGCACTGCAGTCACTGCCTGGCAGCCCCCAACTCCCGAAAATGTCCGGCAGCCGTCGTGAGTTTAGCTCTGTCTCAGTGCTGTCACGACTTCCCGCACCGGCTGGCCCAGGACACTGAGGAAACACAACATAGCAAGTTCTCTATAGACACATTGACGTGCTCATACATGCTGAAAAGTTGTGACGAGTTGACATGGACTGGTCGATGGGCTGGGCATGCATGTTGAACGCTTTCTGAGTGCATTTTGTCTTTGTTCATGTGCAGGATGCAATATAAGTTTCAAGTACATGTACGTGGTTAGTTGTATGTGTTTGAAGTGTGAAGACAGGCATGCAATCATACTATGCGTGTGAATGCTGTCTTCATCGTAAGTGTCACATACGGACTCGGTGAAGATGTAATGGCATGGAGTGGTCACATGGTCTTGCTGTGTTGGACACGGAGGTGGACATGGAGTGGTCAAGGTGTCTCTCTGAGCCCTGATTGCTCAGCCAACTGACTGCGAAGCTTCGACGAACCCGGAGACGGCACGATTCCTCCTCGCTCTCCTCTCTGTCTGTCTGTCTCTCAACTCTCTCTCTCTCTCTCTCTCTCTCCAGGCGCAATTATAAGTACTCGTACCCCTAAGATGAGAGTCGCGTCAAAAAAAGAACCCTGATATTAAGAAGTACCATAGAGTTTCGGTCGGGGGTAGCCCACCGCTGTGGGATATTGGGGGGAACAGCGAAAAATGGATTACACATACATATGCATGCTTGCATAAATGCATTCATGCATACACGCTTGCATGCATGCATGTACTTACACACACAGACAACCTGGACAGCCGACCGGGATGTGGATCCGCGTTGATCAATTTTCTCAGCCGCGCATTCATGGCAGCCACTCCTCCGCTTGTGTGCCCGACCGATTGGCCGGATGCACACATGACCCTTTATACCCCTTGCCTAGTGGGTCTCGAATCGGTTGATGACTTGCAACGTTCTGCGCGCCCAGTGTCCCAGAATTGGGTGCTGAACCTTCCGGGCGGCGAGGGCTCAAAAGCAGGAGTCGTGTGACAGATCTGGCATGCCTGGCTTATGAGTAGAGCTAGTAGGCAGTAGAGAAGAAGCCTTCCTATTATGGATGAAGTTCTTGACAAAAAGTGGTTGCTGAGATAAGCTACAGGTATGCTTTCTGTGTCGATAGCTGTTGGACAGTGCCTGGAGCAACTAGCCCTGCCATCCGAACTTGTAGAGAATGGTGCTCGTAATTTGCAAGGATTGGTGTGTGCAGCCGGAGCCGCCAGCATTCGGCAACGCTTTGATACTCGAGATGCCGTGCTGGTCTTTGGTGCTCAAGAGGACGCTTGTGGCTCGAACTTTCGGCTCAAGCCAGCTTGAGCCTTGAGCCAGCGCCAATCACATTCAATCTGGAGCAGTCAGGTTGCTTTGCTTCAACTAACATCGCCTCAAAACTGTCAATGCTCTTGATGCTACTGCTCACGCGCGAGCCTTACGAACTGTGATCGGCTGCACATACGAAAAGCCTTCAGACATCTTTTCAAGTCTCCGAGACTTTGCTCCGATGCGAAGATACAAGCAGCAAAGCCTACAGTCCCACAGTGTCTTCAGAAGCGCTAACCCGCATGGTCATCTTGCTCCGACAGCGGCGCTAGGCAGGATATGCATTGCCCCTTTCGGGTACATTGCAGCTAACTGCCAGAAAACCAAGTCTTAGTTTCCATTGGTTGGGAAATGCTGTAGCATTGCCACCAGCACCACAGCCGCAGAAACATGACAGAGCAGTTCTGAGCTGAAGTGCCTTGAGTGGATGAGCTTTGCACATCTGGACGAAAGTCATATTTGTCACGCATTTCTGGTACCCAGTGCCTGAGGCATCATATTCTGACTGCCGAAACCGCTCGCAAGCATTGCAGAGCAGGCACAAGTTTGTCTCACCAACTTCTGGCGCTGTCACGACTTCGACTTTGCCGGGCACTGAGTCCAGATGACGGCTGCAGGTCTGTGGTAATTTAGTGCGAAGCGTTGCCCTTACAGAATCCTAAATATAGAATTGGTTTAACCCAAAAAAGGAACTACAATGGAGACTATGGGTAACCTTCACGAAAGTACCAGGAGTCGCCGATATGGAAGCGCAGGGTCGTCCACAGGCCGCCCGGTCGCAGAAGTCCCAACTACGTGTATGTACAGTTTTGCATACATATGTATGCATGCATGTGTTCATACATAAATATAAATAAATAATATATATATATATATATATGCTGCACGGATATGAGACAGATGGTTATTTGAGTATGTACATACACCTGCATCCATCTGCGAACACACACTTGCGCACATATATACTTGCACATTCCTACATACTCAGAAAGTCTACACACAGATTACATAATCGGTAAACGCACGCATGCAAGCCTGGTACCTCTTATTCATTTGTGCGTCTATCTCTCTCTCCCTCTCTTTGTTAATTAGTTGGAGAGGTCGGACAGCGCGCTACCTTGGCCTCACAAGATTTGCCCTTCCCTGTTAGTGTGGAGTGGTTGGACAGCAGGCCACTTTCGCCTCAAACTGTTTGCTCGCCCCTACGGACCTCAGAACTTGGGCGTTGGGACCGTGGTTCACCGCACTGTCCACAGTTGAGCGTGCAAATTACCTGCAGGACGACCTGCGGCTGCGGCTTCTGCAGGGGGACGTGTCGCCCAGCGACCAGGACATCCCAGCTCCGTTGCGAATCCGCGGCAGAACTTCTTGAGTCCAGGAGTCTAGGCACCCGCACACGTTTCAGTCGCATGCAGCTCTGGCTGTAGCAGGTCCGAGATTTACTGCATGCGCAAAGATTCCGTAGGAGGCATTGCGAGGCGGCAAGGCTTCTGCTGAAAAGGATACCGCACCGACGTCGCTCTCACGGCGAGAAAAGGCAGCGACACGCTTCTGGAGGCTTGATGGGTCCGCAAGCAAGTCTCGCGTGGCACATCAAGGGAAAAATATGTGCTGCGCCATGGTGATGGACTGGCATCACTTGACAGGTCCCTGGCAAAGTACTTCCAGGAGCATGGCTACAGGCGAAGAAGAGTCATGCTGCTGCTCTTGAACGCAGCTTCGGTTGAAGGCCTATTCGTCCGGTTTTCGCAGATCCGGAGGCCCGCTGCATCCGCCTTGGGCTCCGTCGATCGGCGGCTGACGGTCTCAGGCCCCATGGCTTGGGGGCCTAAATACTATTTTGGGGGTTCCTTATTGTTATCATAGTAGAATATACCTCAAAACCCTATTTATTGGATCAGGCTTCAGCAGCATTGCTGAGTGGCTGGTTTCCGGTTTCTCTGCAGTGTGGACAATGGAACCCTGAACTGCTCGTCATTGCCCGTTTCGTGGGAGTGGGATTCATAGTGCCGCCATGATGTCACAGACACAAGGCAACCGAAAGGGGGAATGAACGAACCCCGGCTACTAGCGCAGACAGTGTCTGCATGCTACGCGGCCAGTGCTTCATTGGCTTTAGAGTGGATCGACTCGATCTGTGGCTGGGGATTGAGATTCATGCGATTTGCTGCACAGGAACTACGGGACCAGCTGCATATGCCACGCCCTCTCGCAGAGCCCTGAAGGCAAATGCTTCTGCGGGAGCCTGAGCTGTCGGACCGTTTCTTACTAGTTTTGATTGTGGTGATGCTGACCATGACAACTCCCCGTCTGTTGTGCATATAAACACGTAGTTTAATATACGTGTACGTGTGGATGATCTGTATATAAGACCGTCTACCTGTCTCGGTCGTGTACAGCGGCTTACTACAGCGTAGACTGTCGTGAACTTGTTATTCATTTCGTGTGTTTACGCATGTCCTCTGTATCGTAGAATCTACCATCACAGGGTTCACTGAAGCCTGGTTACCCTGATTTGGCCTGATTCGGTCAGAGCGGAGTGAAGAATTCGCCCAGGACCCAACCGACTACCTGCATGCGGCAGGGTCCAGTGGTGAGGCCTGGAAATTTGCGGAGTTGGGCACCAAAAATAGCTAATCAACGTAACAGAACAAGATTTGAGCACGCAGAAGCGGCAAGCAGATAAGATGCATATCCATCCGACCGTGCGTCCGTGCATGCATGCGTACATACACACGCATGCATACATACATAAATAAATACATACATACAGGCACATTCAAATGTATGGTACCCGCGCAGGTACATGCTTACATCAAACACACATACACAAACACACAAACATACATGAGTACATAAATGCATTCATGCATACATGCATACATGCCTACCTATACCTACATACCTCTACCTATACATACCTGCAAACATACGTACATACCTACGTACCTACACAGGTACTGTACATGCATGCATCAACTAACACACATGCATTACATTACATACATAGGTACGTGAGTACATACATAGATACATAGATACATAGATACATAGATACATACATACATACATACATAGATACATAGATACATAGATACATACATACTACATACATACATACATACATACATACATACATACATACATACATACATACATACACACATACATACACACCTACATACATGCCTGCATACTTACATACCTACCTATGTACATACCTACATACCTACGTACACGCCTACGTACATACACGCCTACATACATTCATACATACATGCATGCATACATACATGCATACATACACGCATACACACACACACACATATACTCATAAATGTTTATAAAGCATAGGTTGCGTGTGCCATACATACATATGTACATACATACTACATACATACATACATACATACATACATACATACATACATACATACATACATACATACATTCACATGCGTGCGTGCGTCCGTCCGTGCGTGCATACGTACAAACACCATACATACATGCATGTGGTGTGTTTATATACGTACACATGTAAAGTACATATGCAACCGCAGAGTGGTCAACAACGATAATAAGACACGTCAGACATCTTGTTCGAAATTCACCGGGTAGTCAGTGTGGCAAGCTGGAGGGAATCCAGTTCGTTTCAGGTCAGCATGATGGTGCTGTGTGATGGAGATAAACAGGGAGTTATGGCAGTTATGTGTTTAGTCCACCCCACACGCAGGCTTATTCCTACCCACATCCATGTTCATTCTGGCTCTCCAAGATGCGTTCCCAAAAAAGAACAAAGCGTTGACACCTTGAGCCCTGAGCCCTATAGATCACAAGCAGAAAGTGTACAATATTCAACATGCTATATGTGCTACATATATATATATATGTATGTATATATATATATATATTTTTGTATGTATGTATATGTATGTATATATAAATATATAAATTCATTGCAATAAGCAACGAAACATATATATATATATATGTAATACCTGCGTCCAGCAGCACTGACAGCTCCAGGTGCCCTTCCCGACACACGCCGTCGCACCAGGGCAGTTCCGACGCCATTTCCTGGGAGACCAGGAACCAAGAAGAGTGGCTTCAGCCCAAAGGGTCTAAGTACTAAAATGGTAGATACTTTGGGGCCCAAAATATCTACGATATGGGTACTTAGACCCTTTGGGAAGTGTTTAGGGATGTTTAGGGCTTTCGGGGTTTGGAGATGAAGGATTCAGGAAGCTCGGCGCTTTCGGGGTTCAACGGATTGGGGTTCAGAGTGAGAGTACGAGGACGAATATCTTTCGCTCCGTGGGTTGTGGCAGATATAAGTTTCATCCACCGCAAGTCGCGGCTCTGCAGTTTTGAACTGAAATTTGAGGGGACATATGCTGGGGGGTTCACTTAACTATGCATATTATATGTTGCTGCAGCGTCCCAATGCACTCCTCTTTACAGTAAATCTTAAACCTAAAAAATCATGTCTGGCGCAGGAATTCCAGGGCGCCGAGATCAGCTGCCATGCGCAGCTTGTCGAGTTTGTTCTGGACGTCTCTTTCGACATCCAGGCGGGCTCGGTGTATCATATATGGTTGATACTTAGATCGAACGGTCATGGAAGTAAAGCTCGTGACGCCGCTTCGATAAACATGACACGAGTGTGAGATAGGTGGTTTGGCGGCTTCGAGTAATCCGACCATCGAAGCTGCTAGTTCGATTGAAGGTCATGAAAATAAAGCAGTCTTGACTTGGGAGTCTGAGCCCCAAACCTAGACCGGCGATACCCTTCGAGAGCTCAGGAGCACTACTGGAGAATGGCGCAGGCCGAAGTGGAGCTCTTCAATGCTCCGGCTTCCTCGGAGTTTGGGCCTAAGTCCTAGGGCTGCCCTCTTAAGGGTTGAGGGTTTTGGGTTTGTTTGTGGGCTTTAGCTAAGCCAAGTCGATGCTTCAAACCGATGTTTTGCAGCGGTTCAGCTTTCGAAGCCACTACGACGAGCATCTTGCAGACCCTCGACACCCCGACTGTAGCAACGAGGGCGCCGCTCATGGTCAACATCTGTGTTTCTGTATGCACTAATTCACTTTGCCAGTGTCCTTACTACCAGAATGCTTGAAATCAGTGGAAACGACGAAGCCAGCACCATGGTGACCATCACCAGAGGGCTGATGATTCTTGCTATTCTCATCATCAGCATCATCATCATCACCATATTCATAATGATTATTTGGCTTGTCTTGTCCGCCTGCTGACTGAACCAGGCCGGAAACGTCCGGAGAGGCGTCACCGGTGACGCCGTTTCGAGCAACGACCGACTGGTTCTCTTCAAATTGTTGCCGGTGATGTTGGGTCTAAGGATTCAGGGTTTAGGGTGCCCGAAATTAGTCTTGCTGTGGTCAGCGGCTCAAATTTTGACGGTTTGAGGGCTTCAGGCATAAGAGGGATCTGAGGGCCCAAGGGGCCATTCATAAAGACATGTCGGTGCTGAGTTCTCGAGTTAGGATGCCTCTCTTGCTTGCTGTTCTGATGGCAACAGAATGCGTCTCCCCAGCATTAGGCACAGACTTTGTCCTGCGGTAGGAGTCCAGGCGATCTGAAAGTGCTGCTAGCAGCAGTGTAAGGGTTCATGCTAGAAATGCTTATGCTAGAAATGCTTCAGTATTGCTCCAAAAGCAAATTCTGTTTCTACAGGAGACAGTCTTCGGACTTGGCCACCGTGCTGGTGATCTTGAAGCGAGGGTCCAAGATGATGTGATGGCCACCAGAAGCCTCAGCTCGAAATCAGGGAGCCTGCGGTTTGACTGATGGAGTTTTGCAAGGTCTTTTCTCGGCGGCACGCTGCTTGTGGCTCCTGGCGAGTTTCTGCAAGCTGGACTTGTGCAGCTGACTGAGACAAGCCTCATGACAGAGCTCTGCCTCGGAGGCACACCGCAACTGCATCTTCGACGCGACATGTGCGCGAATCATGCAAGTTTCAGTTGCTGAGCTCAGCGAGGTCTGGCAATCTGCTGTTCTGGTTCATGGGGCCACACGGCTGCAGGTGATTTGTTGCCAGTTGGGGAGGCGTTCTATCTCCTACCATGATTATTCGGGCATAGATGCTAGCCCGAACAGACAGAAAAGCCAGAGAAACGCACGCTACATCACATGTCAATTCAGTTGCTCCATCATGAGTCAGGGTAGGAGAAGGGCTGAAGCTGTCCTGGTGCCGATTCAAAAAGGTTTTGCCTCTGGTTTTGCACCAAGGTTGCTGGAGCTGTGGTGCATGCGGAAGCTCCTTGCCGCCTACCGCCAGGCTATGGAAGTGGCATGTGGCTGTGAGACGTAGTGCTGCATGGGTCATGAAGACTTGCCTCCGTTTCTGAATCGTCTGCATGTAATCAGTCATGGCCAAAACATGTAGTCTGAGCGTGTGAGAGCAGCGTGGGCAATGAATGACGCCCAGGGTCGCGCAGATCATGTGCACCCACGCACAATCAATCACGAGACAACTTGCGGCATTCAAAAATAGTAGAACTAATGACGCACAAGCAATCTGATTTTGTTTGTAGCAGTGCCATAGTAGCAGTAGCTGTAAGGTCACTGCAACAGTAGCAGTGGCAGTAGCCGTAGCAGTAGTCGTCGTCGTCGTGGTAGTAGTAATGGTGGTAGTAGCAGTTAGCAGTCGTCGTCGTAATAGTCGTAGTCGTAGTCGATGTTGTTAGTGGCGAAGGCGAGTAGGAAAAAGGAGAAGAGGAAGATCCGAGGAATACAGTAGCAATAGTCATACTATGACGTCCTATGACTGTTGTGGTAGTCGTGACATCAAGCGCACCGGCAAACCTTAAAGCCACGCAGACAGTTTTGAGACACCTAACATGATCTAACATGTTGTCCAGGATGATCAGGCTACAAAACCACAAAGCACACAAGAACCAGGGAAAATGCTTCAAACCCCTGACCCTCAAACTTTAAGCTTTGGGACAAAAAAGCCCGGACAGAGGTTGGCGGCGGCTCTTTTGGTCTCCTCGCCCTCCGGGCCCTGGGCCGGGGAGGAGCCCTGGCCGTCGAGGCTCGCCGGGTGCAGATACCCAGAACCCCCGGAAGGATCTAAAAAGGTAGATCCCCTAAATTTGGGACCCTAAGTACTATAAGGGGTACTTCATAGGAACTTCCTTAAGGGATCTACTTTCTGGATCCACACGGAGGTGCAACAAATCATGAGCAAGTGAGCACCTCTATAATTTCGTACGTACGTTCGTAGGTATTGTGTATGTATGCATGGACAAGTATACGCGTACGGGTATACACATGCTACTTGCTAAAATCTATGTTGCCGAATCGCATATCAAGCGTACAGTTCGTGGTGTGAGAATGCTGAACAATCTCAGTATACACGTGCCCGAGGTTTAACTCCAGTTCTGCTTGTAGGGCTGAGATGGCGATCATCCCCGGTCACCATGAGCGTGCTGTAGCTCTTTAGGTATCTGCAGGTGTTCATGTGTCTCTGCATCTTCTCTAAGCTGTTCTACTTCCCAAGTTCTCTCGTCTTAGTATGCCGACGGCTGAGAAGACATGTAACCTGGCTCCCATAGTCATTAATCCAGTGATCTCCGCAATCGAGCATCGCCCTCAGTGGCTTGGGCAGGTGTCCATCGTGGTGCCTGGCTCAGGCAGAGGGACGCATGCAGATCAGCAGGATTCCGCAATATTCTCTGCCGCAACAGAAACCAGACCCCAAGCTGCTTGCAAGCCAAAGTCGTCTTGGCACCGAGGCTTCACAGCTTGGCTTCATTGCCACTGCTGCTCGACCTGAACTTCTTTGTGTGATCTTGACATCGATGTTTGTGTAATCTGTCGCCCTGTGTGTCTACAAGCTGTGAGCTTTCAGGAAATGATATACTTTGCCAAGAATGGTGCACATGCCACCAAATGGCTGTGGCAGGCTTATTTTGCTGCTCCTGCGTGCGCACTTTTGCAAAGATGAAGCAGCATCCGAAAACTGAAAGATCTACTGCATAAACGACATCACCTGCACTTGTGTTTTGTGCCGCGCAATCCAAAGTGACTTGAGTTGGCAAGGTTCGAAAAGTATCTTCCACAAGAGTCGATGCGCAAGGACCTTGTGCTTCGTCGTTCCGTGGCTTCTTGGCATGTTGCATCATGTTTATGGTGCAGACAACATGAACAGACAAGTACATTAGAACAGATGAATGTGTCCGGGGTACAATTGCAGAAAAGATGTATGATTATGTACAGATGCAGTTGCACATCGTAATCCAGATGTTGCGTCGTATACAGCATGCACCAGTCTTTGACGATAGCATGTGATTCGATATGTGTTTGCCATGTCAGACGCTGTATGTATAGATATGTATGTTCAATACCGTCACTATCAAGCAACTGGCGGCCTTAACCGGTGAGCCATCTCTTCAAGTGGTGACTGAAACTTCAGGGTGCACTGTCACCGTACCAAAGTAGTTACATGGACGTCCATCTTCCAAGAGTGCTCAGCCGTTGCGCCATACTAGCCATTTCCGAAGAAGCCGTTAGAACTCGGACCCCATATACTCTAAAGCAAGGGCTCCAGATGCCCGGAGGGAGAAGCATTCCCGAACTCAACAAAACGTACAGCGTTTCGTCACGGCTTAGGGCCTAGGAGGGTTCAGGAATGTGTGAGGTCATGAGCCCAAGAACGAGGTGTTTAACCACATAACCTGTGACGGGCCGACAGTGTACAATCAAGCAGGCCCTCAGCCACGTAACCAACTCCCTCTTGAAAGATGGAACTGAGAGCAAATGAAGGATGATGTGATTGCCTGGCTGACCTGGGGGCAGCTGCTTCTCGTAGTTCCAGTTGTCGATGCCTGAGACCAGTGGGGTGGGGCCTGTGTTTTCCCTTCACTTTCAGCTGTGGCTGCAAGGGCAGCAGGAGAGCAGGCAACTTTTCATCTCAGTAAGTCCTAGCTTCAAACTCTGAGTTCTCATCTAGTAGACTCCGATGACAATGCGCCAGTGGACGTTGCACATCATCAAGATATGGATGCTGCTAAGTAGACACTTGCCATCGCACGGAAAGTGCAGCCAACGGTGTAAGATGGTGGATAACCACTCCAGCACTAATTGTAGCTTTAGTCGAAACGCTATCATCTCAATTATTTGACCTGTGTTATGATTTTTCGTACATACATGATCACACCTGTGCCCGAAGAAGCGCACTGCTCAGTATTCTCCTCACATGCGATTGTTTCCTGCCGGTAGCTATTCCTGTCTATGTATGTATGTACGCGCACGCGCACTGTAGGTATGTGTGTATGTATGCATG